GGTGGGGTTGGGGGGGGGGGGTTGTTATTTTTTATTGTTTCATTTATTCATTTCATCCAACTGCGAAATGCAGTTGGATGAGATCCGACGGCGTGGTGAGCCGTTGGATCTCACCGTTGTTCACTTCTGCGTCCACTCGTGGACGCATGCCTCTAATATCATCCTGTCTCGTTGATCCGATTTTTCTTTTCAAAGTCTCATCCCTTTGATTTCAGATCGCGTGGATCGGGGACGGTGGATCGCTGAAGAACAACTGGGCTCTGGATTCGTCGATGGAAATTCGATTGGTCATCGAGCCAGTTTGACAGGTCATTCTTTTTCATGACTTCATTCATTCACTCATTTACTTGTCCTTGTTCTCATCTAATCCAAGTTTTTCCAATCATCAGTTTAGCTTCTCAACTCGATAGGGGGGAGCAAGGAGGATAGCGTTTAGCCTAGAACTGATTTTTGGTTGTCATTTATTGTTTCTTTTAGATCCATCCAATGTCCGGATGCCAATGGATGGATCTCGCATTTAAGAAATGAGGATTTGCCTCATTTCGCAATCGTATTTCACTTGATAATAATATCTCATCTAATAGAAACTTTCATTTCGTTATTTAATGTGTTTGATTTCAGGTTATTATGGTCTCGTGAATGTGATGGGCGACGAATCGTATCGGAAGTGGACAAATCTCCATTAATCGATTGGGCTCGAGATCAGGAAAATTCTCACCGCATCGAAAGGCAAGCACAACTTATCAGGTTTCTAAATTTAGCGCTCCTTCACGTTCTTAACATTATCGTCGATTAATATTGTGTACGTACATATCCAAGAAAGCAGTTCTGATGTGTCGCTTGCTTAGGTTAATCTGTTGTGAATTTGATACTTCACAGTGAATAAACTAGTTGCATATTTCAGTTTCGTTTGATTTTATAAAATTTATGGGAATGGATCCATAAATTATCCAGCAACAACGGCTCTTTCAACACTAAAGTAAGCGTTAACATGATAATCACCGTTGTTTGTGAATGAATCAGTAACACAATATGTATGCAAGGGGCAAATCATTTGTGAGTCTGAATTCTTCATTCTGTTCTGTCCATCTTCTAACTTCTTCTCGAATCTACTAGCATTTTCTTCATATTTTATGTATCTTCATAGAATTTGTGTAACGCTATTTCATGAATAGTAAAAAGTTTGTGGAATTTTCTCTGTCTGATGCGAGAGGGTGACCCTAATGGAAGGCCAAATAATTTTTATCAATTTATCATACTAACCAACCAAAAAATCGTCCCATTACCAGGCTTGAATTTAATAATGACGATAAGTTCATCTTGAATTGTTTGCTGTTCGATGATCAACTAATCGACGATCAGATGTTATTGAATTATAGCGAAAATGGTATATGCAGCTTATTTGAAGAATCGCATAGTTATTCAGAGCTGTTCGTTTCATCAAAGGCTCGTAAACAATCCCGACGACCTGTCGATGCTTCGCTGGAAAGGTTTTGAAGACAGGTTGCTGCAGGTTCATTCGTTTCTTCGGATTTTTTTGATTCGTTGCGTTGAATTCTTGTTGCCATCATCATCTTCAGCAATGACTGTGGATAAGTTGTTATGGTAGTTTTATGAATACTGCTGATTGATATCGAAGGTATCCATGATATCCGTTTCTTAATTATAAGTTTGCAGAAGTCATACGTTCATTCGTGCTGGGGACAGAATTTGTCTTCAAAATATTTATCGAATTCAGCCGAAATGTGCTTTTTTTATTATCGAGCCTGCCTACATCGTATCTTCCAGTTGGGACACTTAAGGAACGGCAACCTGCAGAATTAGATAGAGGTGAGATGCGTTGCGATAATGACACAAAAAAATATCCATCATCGACGTCAAGGTTTCAGTTGATTTATCGGTTTCAGTTACTTTTATTGAAGTAGTATTTTTGCTTAAATTGAATATCCATTGGTTCCAGTTGCTTATGTTGGACGAGGAATTTTATTTTCTTGGATGGTCCTTCTTGTTGAAATATGACAATGTGGTCATTCTATGATGAATTTGATTTGGTTTGAAATGTTTCGTTTGCCCTTTTGTTGCATCAGCCAAGGTTGTTGACGATAGAAATTCGATGAAATTCATTTTTAGATATGTTTTCATTCAAGAGAGTATTGAGGAAGCGAGTGGAAAGTTGGAAATGGTAATCGCAATGATGAGCATTTCGAGCGATTCGAATTGTTGCTGGAGAACAGAGTGTTGGCCGCATCATCGACTAAATATGAGTCTTATCATAATATTGTAAATAATTTCACTGATAACTGCAGTAAAGAATGAATGATTTTTGGTGTATAAAGATTTCTTCTTCGTCTGATATATATTTGTATCGTTTCTTAATGGTAATCATTGTTTTGTATTTTAAGATATTTTTAAACACTCATCATTTCCTGTGGTTACTTCAGTCTTGTATGATTGTGATGATTAGTTGTTTTTTTTTTAGTTTTGAGAATTTAGTTTTGTGCTCTAGTAGACCAGATTATTATTCCACTTCTCCATCTTATTGCTCGATGAGTAATTGTTCAGTTGGTGGAATGTTTTTTTTAATTGCATGGAAT